TGGTGTCTGCTCCTCCTGGTGTTCGTCCAGATATTGATGCACTCAACGATTCTTTGAATCAATGTTTTGTATGAATCTCTGGATAGTTCTATTGGTGTGAAATCTGGTCGTCCTGGCCATTGGAAGAAGTACTGGACGCAAGAAATTCAGGATGCTGCTACTGTACGTGATCACTCTTATAGTCAATGGAGGCATGCCTTTGGTATTGTCAAAGTTGAAAAATGGTCCTTATACAAAATTGCGCATCGCAAGTTTCGCTCCCTGGTGCAAGCTGCAAAGCGAAGGTCCTGGAAACAGTTCTGTGGTATTTCTAGAAAAGGATTTCTCAAAAGCTACTGCTGCTATCAAGCGCATCAAGCGTAACAAAGAGTCTTCTGCTACCTACAGTCATCCCGACGGTCCTGCTGCTTCTGTCACTGCTATGGGTTCTCATCTCGCTTCGGTGTATGATGGCTCTCTGCTTGCCACTGCTACTCGTCCTGCTGCTCCCCCCACTTTTGACTCTGTTCTGCCTTTTTGTGTGCCTGTGGATTTGTCACTGTTCGATGTTGATTACTCTTGTATCTCACATTCAGCGGCTCCCAACACATAAAGCTCCTGGTCCAGATCATATTAAAGCTGAGATGCTCAAGTCCTTGGTCTCTGAGATTGCTCCGGTGTTGTCTCTGTTGTTCACTCTGTGTTACCAATGGTCGTATACTCCTGCTCTCTGGCGTCATGCCCAAGTCTTCCCCATCTTCAAAGAAAGGTGATGCTTCTGATCCCGCCAACTATAGGCCTATTTCTCTGACTTCTGTTTGTGCGCAACTGTTTGAGTTCTCTCTCATGCCTGAGCTGGATGCCCATTCTCCTGCCCTTGACATTGCCCAAGGTGGTTTCCGCCCCTCAACGTAGTCCTCTGGATCAAGCCCTCTGCTTGCATGACTTGATGCATGATTACTTTGTTGCGCACCGTCGTCGTCCTGTTGTCGCTTTCTTGGATATCAAGTCAGCATATGACACAGTCGATCGTCGTGTTATCTGGTCTGCTTTGGCTGGTTCTAGTCTTTCCTCGTGCTGTTCTGGGTCTGTTGATCAACATGTTTGATGATGTGTCTGTCTCTGTCTTGATTGCTAATCACAACTCGACTGCCTTCTCTCCTGTCACTGGTGTTCTGCAAGGCTCAGTGCTCAGTCCTCACTTGTACTCGTTGTATATCAACTCTTTACCAAGTCTTTTGCGTTCTGGTGCTACTGGTGCTACTATGCTGCCTGTGCCTGGTGCTGATGCTCCTATTGCTATCAATAGTCTCCTGTTCGCTGATGATGTGGCTGTCTTTGGTTCAAAGTCTGAGGTTCAGCGTATGTTGGATCTTGCTGCTGGTCATTCTGTCTCTCTTGGATATAGGTGGAAGCCTTCCAAATGTGCTGTGCTTGGTACTGCTGCTGCTCTTGCTGGTTCTCCTCTGGTACTTTACAATGAAGCTCTGCCTGTCGTTGACGAATTTACATACCTTGGTATGCCATTCCGATACAAAGGCCTACATGCTCCTGGTATTCTGTCTCTGCGTTCTGCTGGTGCTGTCAAGACCATGGCTCTGTTAAACTCTGTTGGTGTCAACCGCAATGGTTTCTCTTTGCTTGCTCTCCTCTCGCCTGTACAGGACATTTATTTCGTCCTAAGCTTGAATATGGTCTGGCCATCTCCCATCTCTCTGCTCGTGATTTTACTGCTATGGATACTTTTGCAAAACCGACTTGTTGGCATGTTTGTGGGTAGTACTTGGGTTAATGTCGCCAAAGCACATTACCTGTCTTCCCAGTATCAAACATCGCTACAATGTCCTGGCTACCGTTTTGCTCTGCGTGCTGATACTCTGCCTGACGATTGTCTGCTGGTTCTGCTTCGTGCCCATTTGCACTATACAAGGTTGGATCGTTTTATATGTGAAAACCCTCTGTATCAGTCGCTGCCTGACCCTGTTCCTTCTTCTGCTGGCTTGCGCACTACCTTTGCTGCCTATTGGCAAGATCAGGTTGATCTCCAGCTCTCTGCTGCTGCTGTCACTGGTCGTCATACTTTGCTTTCGTGCTTGTCGTCCTGACACCATGAGGCCTGATCCCATACTTTACCTGCCTCTTGGTCGTATTGCTCGAAGTCGTTTGGTCCGTTGGCGCCTTGGTCGTTTCACAAACATGCGAGAGGAGTGCCCATGTATGTCACCTGCAGGTGTTCACATCTCTCGTGATCACTTTTTGTACTGTTCGTGCTCTTGATCCTGACTTGATCGATGCCTTGCCGCCTGCTCCACCTGGTGTGCACCGTATTGACCATGCTCTTAATTGCTTGCCCACTAATGCCTCTGCCGGTCCTCCTGATTTCTGGCCTGCTCTACTGAACCTCCTGTATGCTATCGATTGCCTTGTGCATCCTCTGGCTGTCATTGCTCCGGATCCAGATCCAGCGTCTCTTTGGTACTCCAGTACTGGTTGATCTGACAGGGATGAACATGTTCCATTGTTGTTTTCTACGTGCGGCTCCTCGGTGGTAAGTCATTATCAAAGTTCCCATCCGTTGGTTGTCCCTCGAGATCCTCAATGTGAGCACCACTAGTCTCCATGTCCTGTACTCTTGTCACTGCATTTTTTGTCCCTTTGAAAGTGCTCTGGAGGGGTTTTTTTAGTTACTTGCTCTATATTTGTTCTTGAAGTTAGGCTATGCTCACATCGAGTGCCCATTAAATTTCTTATAAATAAAAACAATCTTTAAACTGAGCTACATCCCCTACGCATCTGCTGCCCGTAAAGGTGCTCAACATCGTGACCCTGCCCGTACTACCAAGCGACGTCTTGCTGCAGGTCGCATGTTCCAAACCACCACCACCAAAGGTCAACAAGGATACCAGTATGTGTATCTAGGCCGCTCTGGTAAAATCCTGCGCTCTGAGGTTCGTTACCAACTTCGCCGAGCTGGTATTGATACTGGCCGTGTGTTAGACATCTGTTTCCCTGCCACTGGCGTCATTGGCATCTTGCTCCACATCCAATATGTAGAGGAGTTTCTCGCCTGTATGCGCAAATGTGAAGCTGATCACATTGAAAACTTTCAACCCTTGGATCCCAACAACATTGCTGATCCCAAATATGCTGATCTTGCCATTGAAGAGCGTGAGCAATTGATCTATGAATTCACCAACACCCGTGCTCTGCAAACCCTCTCTTTCCTTCGTCCACTCAACGTTAGTGGCGTTGGCAAATACTTTGTCTCTGCTGGCTGGATCTCTCAAGAAGAGCTAGATATAGCCGTCTCTGAAGCTATCGGTCGTCTTGCCGAGAAGGAGCCCAAAAAGGCTAAATTCTTGTTCAAGCGTCAAAAGGAAGATCATGACAGCAATGGCTCTGCTATGGAACTCTAATGAGTAACATAGCTACTAGTCATACTCCAATAACAACCCAGTCCACTCCTTTCAAGTCTCTCTCTCCCTTTGGAATGCCAATGGTCTACGTCAATCAACGGTACATGATGTCCTCCATCATGTTCAGAACACTCATGTACTGCTTGTCACTGAAACCTGGCTGACCTCTGGTTCTTTCCCTACTAACTGGTCTCAATTCCACCTCTATGGCTCTAAAGTACCTGGTGCATTTAACCGTGGTTCTGGTGGCATTACTGCCTTTGTCTCTCCTTCCTGTCCTTTCTCTGTCTCTCAACTTCCGTCTTACAATGCACACACTTTGTCCCTTAAGGTTGGCACCCTTACGGTTCATTGTGTGTATCTGCCTCCACCCTTATCTTCGGATAAGGTGCTCTCGCTTCTTCGCTCGTTACCCGTAACCGGTGATACCATCCTTTGTGGTGATTTCAATGCTCGCTTTGGATCTCTACTGGGTGATACTAATGCTAATCCTCGTGGTACCTCACTACTTCCATGGCTGGAGGAGTCCTCTTTTTCCATTCTCAATGAGTCTTTAGCATTTGGTACACCCACATTCACAACTTTTCGACGTCAACAAGAGGTTCATAGCATCATTGATCTGTTTCTTACAAACATTGGCGAGGCTGCTCTGTTACATCCTCAACTGGTGGTTGAATCTGATCTGTCTCTTGGCTCTGATCATCGGCTGATGGTACTTACTTTCGAGTATGTGCCCCCTCCTGATGATACTCTTGGTTCTGGTAGCTCTGGTGGTTTGGCCCCTAGACGGCAATGGAAGCTCTCGAAATTGAGGAAAAAGCGGCCTTTGGGCTTGCTTCGTGAATCCTTTCGATCTTCTGTTGCTCCTTTGGTTGGTTCTCTCTCTGGTTTGGTGTCTGCTCCTCCTGGTGTTTGTCCAGATATTGATGCACTCAACGATTCTTTGAATCAATGTTTGTATGAATCTCTGGATAGCTCAATTGGTGTGAAATCTGGTCGTCCTGGCCACTGGAAAAAGTACTGGACACAGGAAATTGAGGATGCTGCTCGTGAAAGAGATACTATGTATAGTAGATGGAGGTGGGCAAGTCGTTTTGCCAAAGTCGAAACATGGAATCTCTATCAAGCTGCTCACAGGCGTTTTCGTTCTCTTGTACAAGCTGCTAAGCGTCGATCGTGGAATCAGTTTTGCTCTGATTTAGAAAAGGACTTTTCGAAAGCCACTGCTGCAATCAAGCGCATTAAAAGAAACAAGGAATGCTCTGCAACGTACAGTCATCCAGACGGTCCAACTGCCTCTGTCAACACAATGGCGTCCCATCTTGCCTCAGTCTATGATGGCTCTTTGTTGAATAATGCGTCTCGCCCTACTGCTCCCCAAGTGAACAACTCTGATTTGCCTTACGCTGTGCCTACTGATCTGTCTCTGTTTGATGCTGATATACTTGTCGCTCTCATTAAGCGTTTGCCAAATGGGAAAGCTCCTGGTCCTGATCATTTGAAAGCTGAAATGCTGAAGGCTCTAGCATCTGACATTGCACCCGTATTGTCTCTGCTCTTTACACTCTGCTCTCAGTGGTCGTATACACCAGCTCTATGGCGACATGCTCAAGTCTTTCCCATTTACAAGAAAGGTGATGTATCTGATCCTGCAAACTTTCGTCCAATTTCGCTTACTTCGGTGATGCGTAAATTGTTCGAATTCTCTCTGATGCCTGCTCTTGATGAACATTCGCCTGCACTTGATGTTGCTCAAGGTGGTTTTCGCCCACAGCGTAGTCCTCTGGATCAAGCCCTCTGTTTACATGACTTGATGCACGACTACTTCCTCACCCACCATCACTATCCTGTGGTGGCTTTCCTGGACATCAAGTCAGCGTATGATACCGTGGATCGTCGAGTGATTTGGGATGCTCTCTCTCGTTCTTCTCTGCCTCGTTCAGTTCTCAGTTTGCTCATCCACATGTTCGATGATGTACTCGTGTCTGTGTTGATTGCAAATCACACCTCTGTTCCCTTTTCGCCTGCTACTGGCGTATTGCAGGGTTCAGTGCTCAGCCCTCACTTGTACTCTTTGTACATCAACTCTCTGCCTGCTCTTCTTCGTTCTGCTGTCAGTCGCGGTACTATGGTATCACCACCTGGGATGCCTAGTGTTTGCGTGAATAGCCTGCTCTTTGCTGATGATGTAGCCATATTTGGCTCTCGTACTGATGTGCAAACCATGTTGGATGTCGCTTCAGATCACTCGTTCTCTCTTGGCTACAGATGGAAACCATCAAAATGTGCTGTACTTTGTGCTCCCACTGCCTCTACTCGTCATCCATTGTCCCTATACGGTGAACCTCTTCCTGTGGTAGAGGAATTCACGTATCTTGGTATGCCGTTTAGATATAAAGGTCTGTATGCCCCTGGGATTCTCAATCTGCGTGCTTCTGGTGCTATCAAGACAATGGCATTGTTGAATTCGGTTGGTGTCAATCGAAATGGTTTTTCTCTGTTGCTTTGTGCTCGTTTGTATAAAAGCTTTATTCGACCCAAGCTGGAATACGGCTTAGCAATATCGCATCTCTCTTTCCGTGACTTCAAGGCTCTTGATGCTCTGCAAAATCGATTGGTTGGTATGTTTGTTGGTAGTACATGGTACAATGTTGCCAAACATTTGACCTGTATTCCCAGCATGAAGCATCGATATAATGTCCTGGCAACACGTTATGCTCTTCGTGCTGATACTCTCCCTGATGATTGCTTGTTGGTTCTGCTTCGTCGTGGCTTACTGTACACTCGTCTAGACAGATTTATTTGTCAAAACCCGTTGTATCTGACACTACCTGATCCGCCGCCATTCACCACTGCTGGTCTTACTGAAATCTTTGATTCGTATTGGCAAGATCAAGTGGATCGTCAACTTGCTACCGCTGCTGCTACTGGTGCTCAGACTCTCCTTCGTGCTTGTCGTCCGTCTGTCTCTCGTCCAGATCCCATTCTGTATCTGCCTATTGGTCGATCTGCTCGTAGTCGTCTTGTGCGGTGGCGTCTTGGACGTTTCACCAATATGCGTGAAGAATGTCCGTGCACTACCGGTGAGTTTATCTCCCGAGATCACTTTCTGACATGTCGCGCTCTGGACCGTACCTTTTTTGATGCTTTGCCACCTGCTCCACCTGGTATCCATCGCATTGATCATGCTCTGAACTGTCTTCCAGACAAAGCTTCAGCTGGTCCACCGTACTTTTGGTCTGCTTTGCTCCTTTTGTTGCATGCCATTGATTGCCTTGTGCATCCTCTGGCTGTGATCCCACCAGATCCAGATCCTGGATCGCTCTGGTTTTCTGCTCATTGATGAACGTTTGTTGTTTTTGCTTTCTCGGTGCGATGCCACGGTGGCAAGTAATTATCAAAGTTCCCATCCGTTGGTCATTCCTCCAGATCAAATCAACAATACCAGTATTCATGCCGCTCCTTTGCCACTACCACACTTTCCTTTTCCCTTTTTCTTAGTTAGTGTCCCCATAAGGGTTTTTTGTACCTGCTACTCTTTTGTTTCTAGAATTCTAGGCTAATGCTCCCATCGAGTGCCCATTGAATTCATGTATATAATAAAAATCAACGTTAAACTGAGCTACATCCCCACCTTTCTTTCCGCTAACCAATTTTTTTAATACATTGAAGCCCAGTAATATTGAAAAAATTGACCCAACTCTACAATTCCATACAATACATAGCAAGAACATCATTCCAGACGACACCAAAGTAAACCAGGCATTAAGCTGTGCGTCCTCTCTTTCTCCAGGTCAAAAACGGCCAAGTTCCTCAAGATCTCCACCTTTTTTCGCTGTAGATTTCACTCAACAGTTGAAAACAAAGAAAATGACATTCACTCCAACCTCTCATCAGCACCATCATCCACAAACATCAGTTGATATCATCAACATTTCTACTGATTTTGGACCAACAACTCCTCCATCTGCCTCTCCAGCGAGTGAACAGCAACTTTCAACCTTTATGATTGAGGTTCGAAATCGCTTAGCTCGTCTGGAAACCGCCCATGTCGAAATTGAGCGGTTAAAAACAGCCCTGGCAGAGTCTGAAGCTGCTCGTCACGCTCTCGAAGCCCAACTTGCAGCTGCTACTGGTACTACAACTAGCCTGGCTCCCAAACCATCATCATCCCACCCACCTCCTGCCACTACTACCACCACAACAGCACCAACATCAACTACATGCACCAATGCTACCTCTGCCACCTCTTCGTCTCCAGGAAATCAACCATCTTTTGCTGCCGTCGTTGCATCTAATACAGGTGCAAAGCGTAAGAAGAAGCCTGCTGCTCGTCCTCCTCCTCCATCTGCCACCAAGGCATCCGCTACTCTTGCTCGTCTTTTTGCTCCTCAAAGTGATATACCATCTGGTTATCAATTTGTGTACTATGCTACTCCTGTCCGCCGTCGTCTTTCTGAGCTGCGTCGCCTTGTTCAAGGCGTAGGATTGAATAACTCTCGTGTGCTGGATATTCAATATCCTGTACAGAATGTGATTTCTTTCCTTGTTCACAACGACTATGTTCTCACCCTCACCAAAGCCATGCATCTCCATGGTCGTGGCTCTTCTCCGTTGATTGACTTTGATCCATGTGATCCAGTCAATCTCAAAGATCCCAAATTTGCTTCTCTCTCTCGTGATCTGCGTGTCCAAAAGGCCATTGAGGTCGAAAACCTTCGCTGCCTTCGTTCGCTGTCTTTTGTCCGTCGCTCTGTCCGTGTTTCTGTTGCTCGTTCTTTTCTTTTGTATGATCGCATCAACCAAGCCCAATTTGATGCCATTTTGAAAGAAGAAATGCTTGCTCGTTCCTCCTCCTCTGCTGCTGCTAAACCACCATCCCGATCCTCTGATCAAGAGCGTTTAGCCAAGAAACAACGTTTGAGTTATCTTGGCTACCTCTTGCATCATGATGCTGAAACTGCCTCTCTTTTGGCTTATGCTGTCTCCCCCACTCTCTC